AAAAAAAAAAAATCAAAATTCTTGCCCAGGAGAAATATATTTTCATGGACTCTACAGGTGTATCTTTTTATGCCGGGTCAGTCAGCTTTCAATCCCTAACCGATGAGACTGGACCAGGAAGCATGTAAGTAATAATAAACATCATAATTACAATGTACTTAGTAATGATCTGTACAGGGATTGGCTGTTACAAAATACCCTTCATGGGAGTTGGGCCTGGCTTGTTCCCCCCATCCCCCTGCCACACAGAATAGTCAAATAAATACTTGCTGAACGAATGGATAAAAGTCATTATAAACAACTCATTCTTATCACTATTCCTTAGTTCCAAGTGTATCTTTCCTGGGGCTGGACCGCAGCGATAAAGGCATGGGTTTGGAAAGGCGCTGGATTTGAATCCCGGCTCCATCGCTTATCTAATATGAAACAGACAAGTTTTAAAGTCTGTTTGGGCCTCATTACCCCATTTTCCAAAATGGAAAGTATAACATTACATGGGATCATTTTAAAAACCACATGAAGACGCTGTAAAGGATCTCTGGGCACAGGGATAGGGCACAAGAACCTTCGCAGCCTTTCCCCACACATTTTCTATGTAATTCTCATACAACCACTAAAGAAGCAAAGTAAATATGTAGTTTGAAGTCTGAAGAATCGTCTCCTGGATGATCAGTGATTGGTTCGGCCCCTAAATTAGGTTTCTCAGGATTCTACAGTCTTAGGACAGGGGACGCAGTGCTGGTGTGAGATCGAGGAAAAATGCTTTGAGACACGGAAAAGGGGAAGAGAATAACTGTGACAGAGTCTGTCCCTGGGCAGGAAGAAAGGACAGGTGTCAAGCTAAGCTACGGAGAGGTACGACAACGCTACGCAGCCAAGTGACCCCATTTTACAAGAAGATCCAACTGATAACTGCTGCAAGAAACATAACATCGACATTCGAAAAGCCCCAGGGACGTGTGGAAGCCGTTCAGGATTAACACGGGGGAGTTTTAGAACAACCTGTTGGGGACCAAGAAGCATGGCAAGAACACAGCTAAACAGAGAAGGCTTCTGTTCAGAGGGACGAACAGTGACAGATCCGCACATTTACCCTGTCAGACGAGGGGTACTGTCAGCAGGATGCTGAATGAAGGTAAATATGACCAAGGTAGACTTGCGAATCTTGACCTTGCAGGAAGGTATTTTTGCACAGGCATCGAAAGTGTTCAACATAAATGTGAAAGCTTTGTTTGGGTTTAAGCGTATGCGAGTTATATTGCTCGTGATCCAAAAGCGAGCACAAAAACGGAAAGCAACAGCGCAAAATTTTTTCATTGGGCAGCTAATCAAATAACAGAGTTTATCAGTTGGCAGGTTGAAATAAGGAAACCAAACAGTCTCTTTAAGAAGACGTTATGGAAACATTGTGGGTCACTCAGTCTTAAGGTTTCAAAAGCTCCTGCACATTAGATTTCACAGCTGCTCAGTTGAATTTGTTGTGTGTGTGAGAGAGAGGGAGATAGGGAGGGAGGAAGAGAGGGAGGGAGAAAGAATATATAAATGATTTAAGGACATCTTATCTGTATGCTCACAAGCATGAACTCTCTCCAGCTCTCTGCTAGCAAGGATGACTTGTAATTTAATGGCTTAACTGGTACAAGTCTCAGGGTAATCACTGATCAAATTCGCGTTGTTTTGTGTATATTTCTATAGGGAGCTGCATTCTTAGCCATACTGAGATTGTTGGTGATAACGGAATTATCCACAGCCATTTGGTCTCATCATACACAGTGATTTTTGCTTTTCCCTTACATAATGCCCCTCCTACAAATTACAGATTAGAAATTGAGACTTCTGAAAGAAATGTCAAAAAAGCCCCAGTGGAAGACTGTATCTAGTATCCTTAACTAGTAATAATGCAGGAAATAGAGTCATGGGTACCGCTTCCCAGCGTAAGCTAACATCGATTGCTTCGGATGGACATTTGTCACACTGTACGAGTAGCTGCAACTTGCACAAGGATTTCTGCAAGGGTTTCCAGGACTCTTTTACCCAGAAGCAGAAGACTTCGTGAAAGTAGACAATTTATCCCAAGATCAACAAAAAACTAATTACTAGGGCTAAACGGACCAAAAATACTAATCGAATTGTTGTTAATGTTCTTTTTAGTGTGCACGTGAGAAAATCTTTTCTTTTTAATATATCCTGAGTCATCAATTTTAACAAGGTTTAGTTGAACAAACTAGAATGGAACATTGTTTAAATGGTGTTTTGTATCAACTGAGTTTTTGGATTAGTGAAAAAAACACCCTGTGGAAATCTTACTATAGATTATAAACTGGTTACTCATCAGAAAATTTAAGAATAATGTTTCCATAGAAAATAATATGTATTGATTGGCCCACA